CTAAAGCCATCAAAAGCCATCAAATTTCCCTGAAGCCATTTCTCATCATAGATCCAGAGTCTCATTTCTTCACCCAAGCTGAAGTAGTAAAATATTCCAACTCTATTGTTCTTTTTTTGCTTTTCTTTCTCTTTCTTTTCAATATCCTTTCATCTTCACACCTTCTTTCCCTTCTTTCATATCAGTCCGTTGTTTCAAAAAGTTTCCTCTTTCCTTTTTCTTTTGTTTTATTGAAAGTCCACTAGTTATCCACACTTCAATGCACTTCCCTGTTCTCATTTGTTTCCAAAAAGTTTCAAAATCTACACAGCTAGTTGATCACAAAAGTTTTATCAAATCTTTATGATTAACATTTACCACTATTTACCCAAGTCGCGAGTATAAGTTCTGTTTGGTTTTCGCATGCAAATTGACGGCTGTCTCCGGTGCGGTGTGTCGAGGGTTCGAACCCCGCTGCAGCATAACTTTTGTTGCTTTTTAAAAACAATAATAGAAGTAAATTTATTGAGGGTTATAGCAATTTTATGCTGTTATTTATTGCTCCGGGCGTGGCTCGGCGCGTCCGCCCTGCTCCTCTCCGGTGCTCAGTCTTATGGATCCCTCCCTGGCCTCTTCATCCGGCCCTGGCCTCTTCATCCGGCCAAAGTCCACGTCGACGGTCGAAAGAGATGCTTTCCATCGTCTTCTTCAACACTATCGTCTGGATGTATCCATGCACATAACAAATAGCAATGGTGATAGGCTGTCACCCTGTAGTATCCCGCGCTCCAAGAACAATAATAAAAGTTTATATAACAATAAAAATGCATAAAAACCCAACAAAAGAAATTCAAAGCAATTAAAGCGAATGTAAATTAAGGCAGAACTTATACTCAGATGAACTTATACTCGAGACTTTAGGGTACTCTAATTTCATAAAGCTACATTCTCATTAATCATCTCTTATCATCTTATCATCTTTCAAAGAGATTTTGATTTCTTTTGTAAATTTTTTGTATCATTTTTGATGAGTTTTTGATTCTTTTAAAGAGTTTAACTGAGATTTTCAATTTTAAACTTTAGAACAAGTTGTTAAAACTGTTTTTCTTGTGCTTAAATTTGTGAAACTCCTTTCTGACATACTCTTTGGATAAAACTCTTTTCTAACTCGTAATTGATCTTAGGTTTGAATTGAAATTAGTCTAAGAGTTTGTGGAATTGTGGGATTTTATGATTTACAGCCTAAAGATCATTTCTAAAATTCTAAAATTCAAGAATTTCATTCGAAAAACGCGTAATTTCACTCTTTTGTTTCTTTTCAAAATGAAAATACATTCAAAACTGGACCCAATCAGAGCTGGGAACTAAAGTGGCTCTTTTTTGGTAGCCCGACCAATCTCGATAGACTGATTGACAAGTTTTTGACGTATTTTTTATCGTCTTTCCATTTCCGCATTGAGATTCGACTCTAGTTCATCGCTTAGTCACTAGTCTCTCATCTCAGCAATTCTCTGATCAATTATCTTCTTCCTCGTCTAGTCTTGTTTCTTAACTCAAAAAAAGCTAAAAGTTACATTGAAAGCTCGACTTTTCAAAGCAAAATAATTCTTTTGTTTTCCAGTAGGTACTTGATGAGCAAGTTTGATAGTTGATAGTTGATAGTTCATAGTTCATTGTTCATAGTTGATTGTTGATAGTTGATAGTTGATAGTTTGATAGTTGATAGTTGATAGTTGATAGTTGATATTTGATTTTTGATTATTTGATTGTTGATAGTTCATTATTTGATTCTTTGATTCTTTGATCTTTGATTATTTGATTCTTTGATTCTTTGATAATTTGATTATTTGATAGTTTGATTATTTGATAGTTTGATTGTTTGATAGTTTGATAGTTTGATAGTTGATTGTTTGATTGTTTGATTCGTTGATTATTTGATTCTTTGATTCTTTGATTATTTGATTGTTTGGTTGTTTGATTGTTTGATTATTTGGTTGTTTGATTGTTTGATTCTTTGATTGTTTGATTCTTTGATAGTTTGATATTTTGATTATTTGATTCTTTGATTATTTGGTTGTTTGATTGTTTGATAGTTTGATTCTTTAATAGTTTGATTCTTTGATTCTTTGATTCTTTGATAACAACAAACAGACTTCCTTGCCGTACTTTGAGTTCAATTATTGTTCTAAACATATCCTTCTGGCCCACTAAATACTCCATTTTCTCGCCTTAGCTCTTCAAGAAAGATGAAGAATTAGGTATTAAGTAATTAGGATTAAGTTAGTATTAAGTTAGTATTAAGTTAAGTAGGTTGTGCTTCTATTCTAAGCACAAAGTACACTACAAAGTACATGAACCCTACAAACTACAAGCTCAGACTAAAAACTCCTGTAGAATTACTTAGAATAAGTATTCGTAAAAAGTTTTTTTACCAAAAAATTCAGCCAACTTTAGACTTTTGAATGAGACTAAAAGCAAGAAAATCTACTAATCTAAGAAAATCTATTTGTACTCAGTGAACGAGCCATTTTTAGCCATTTGTAGTCTTGTCTCAAGCTCGATTTTTATTAGAAAAAGTAATTTCTATTCCACGCATTTCTACAAGAATTTTTAAGCGGATTTGTCATTTGTAGGGGCTACTACAAAAAGCCAAAGCAGATAAGCTAGATTTGCACAAAAAGCTTTTGCCTAGCCAACCCTTCAGCCACAATTATTATAGCCAAGCTCAGAGCTGTGGACGCAAACAAATCCCAGAGCTTTCCTCAAGAGAAAAAAGTTCGCAATTCTCGTTTCCCAGTCAAAAAAAAAATAGCCTTTCAGGGTTTCCTTTTTTTTTTTTTCCTTGAACACCTAGCCTATTTGGGGCTTTCTGTGGCTGAGAAAGTAAAAATAAAAAAAGAAATTTTCAAGGGAAACTCTATTGAAACCTCTAGAATTTCGTCATTCGAGAATTTCCAAGTCTTGCCTAATTCTTTTCTTTCTTTTCTTTCTTTTTCTTCAGCGATTCCCCAATTTTCTTCTCTTTTCCACTAATCGTTTCTTCTTTTTTTCTTTTTTTTATAGGTTTTAGTGGAAAGTGTTGGGGGTTTTTGGTCAAAAGATGCTTTTTTTTATGTCTCTTTACAAGTTTTTAAAATAGATTCATTGATTTGGGAAATTTGAAAGTAGACTTTACCAAATTCTCTCTCCAAAAGCTACTCTAACATCTACAGTAACTACAGTAACATCTAATGTTCTAAAGTTAAGCTTAGTACTTATTGTTAGAGCAGATTAGACACTATAAACTACAAAAATGATGAACTGTTACATTAAAAATGCTTCTAATTTTCTTCAAATCTTCCCGATTGACATGATCTATAGCTCAAAAAATAGAGAATCTTAAGAGCTTTCGAATGAATTAAAGCACCTCCAAAAGTATCAATGCTAAAGAAAGTTACGGTGGTTTGTAACTTGACGGACTGTACTGGCGCGTAGTCGAAGCGATTGAGACAGACTACCAATCACTGTAGCACATTTTTCGCTTTTACAAATCACTTTCTTTAGCATTGATGCTTTTGGATGTGCTTTAACTGCTCAGTTGCTTCGACTACACACCAGTACAGTCCGTCAGGCTACAAACCACCGTAACTTTCTTTAGCATTGATGCTTTTGGATGCGCTTTAGTTCATTGAAAAGCCCTTGAGATTCTCTATTTTTTGAGCTATAGATCATGTCAATCGGGAAGATTTGAAGCAATTTAAAAGCGTTTATAGTTTACGTTTGTAGTTTATAGTGTCGATGTCTAGAACAGAAGCTAGATTATAGTATGATAAGTTATGGTTTAACTTGTTTCTTAGATCAAAGTTTGCTTTATTTTGCTCAGATTAGAGTGGTTGGTCAAATGATGATTGTATCGGGTTGAATTGTAGAATTGGAGAACACTGGGATTCAAAATTTTAACCTCTATCCATATGTTTTATGAATTTCGAAATGAAAAGTTGATTTTTTGAAGTGTACTGTGCTGAAGGTGGAATTTAAAAGCGTTCTTTTTGTTGTTCGAATGTTGTCAGTCTAACATTAAACAACAAATGTTAGACTAAAAAAACATTGTTTTCTGATTCACTATAGAAAAATTTTCCAATAAAATAATTTATTCTGATGCTTGGAAACGAAAGATGCGTTTGTTTTTGAGAGATTTGATTTTGCTGTAAAATTTGTGTCGTTTCCTTCAACCTATATATCTATTCTACGCATTTCTACAAGAATTTTTAATCGCATTTTGTTGTTTGTAGGGTCTACTACAAAAAGCCAATACGGTTCCAATACAGTTCCTATTTTGATCTAATACGGTTCAAATACGGTTCCAACACGGTTCTTTTTTTGAACTAATACGGTTCCAAATCAGATAAGCTAGATTTGCAAAAAGCTTTTGCCTAGCCAACCTTTCAGCCTCAATTATATAGCCAAGCTCAGAGCTCTGGTCGCAAAAAAAATCCCAGAGATTTCCTTAAGAGAAAAAAGTTCGCAATTCTCGTTTCTCAGTAAAAAAAATTCATTATAGGAAAATTTGTCCCATAAAATAGGAAAATAGATCATATTCTGATGCTTGGAAACGAAAGAGGCGTTTGTTTCTGAGAGTAACCCCAAAAATGTTGTTGATTGTTGTAAAAGATTGTTGTAAAATGATTGTAAATTGTAAATAAGTTGTAAATAATTGTATAAAATGATTGTTGTAAAATTGTAAAATTGTAAAATTGTAAAAGATTGTTGTAAAATTTCGTTTCGTTTGTTTGAACCTTTGTTTCTTTAACCTTCAACCTTCAGCCTTCAGCCTTCAGCCTTCAGCCTCAAACTCTTTATTGATCTTCTTTACTTGAATATCTTTATTTTCTTTATCTGTTTATGACAACTTGCTTTTTGTTATTGAGTTTTTGAGAAGAATTTTTGAAGAATTTTAGAAGAATAGAAGAAAGAAATTTCATTTTTAGAAGAAACAAGAGGAAAAGTGGATAGGGGTGTTTTCTCCGGAATTTCTCCATTAAATGGAGATCGATAAGATCTCCGAATGGTTATCATATCTTGGGTAAGCTTGGCTTTGATCTTCGATCTGAATCTTGGCTTTGAAATTTGCTAGTTTGATTTGAATTGACCGAAGGAATGTCCTCATCATTTGTTTTTCGGGTTACTCTAACTCTAAACATTCTAGAGGATTAAAACTAGAGCACTTTTATCCCCCGCCAAGTAGTCTTTTGTACACTAACCTCTCTATTTTGCTTTTCTTTTCCGCTTTTCCACCTCAAGTCAGCATTTGCTTTGAGAGGATAACGCAAAAATGAGTAAAGTATTGTATTTATTCTAATTATTTATTTATTCTAAAGCGTAACTAGAGATTCTAATAGATATTCTGATATTTTGATCTTCTAATAGAGCTCTAATAGAAGTAATAACTGTGAATATTCAGCTTAGTAGAGTTTTTAGCGTTTAGGCTATATTTGAATATGTGGTCGAGGGGATAGCGTTGCCAAATGGCCAGATCTGGAGTTCGGATATTCTTTTGCTTTTTTGTGATTCAATTAAAGAAGCTTTGCTGAGAGTAAAGTATCGAAATAGAGGTGAAAAAAAAACGAAATAGAGGTGTTTAAAGGTATCTCCATGATCCTTTTTACTCATGGGGATGCCTACTCCGATGGGTTCGGAGTAGGTACCCATCTGTATTTAATATGGCGCCATTACACGCGCTTAAATGCGCGCACTACCGGGAACGTAGTTCGGGGTGGGGTGCACATTCTTCGATGCCGAGAACGAGGAAATCTATTGAAGATTTCCTCGTTCTCGGTTCGTTATGGCTATCCACTTAAATACGGGCAACGTAGTTGGGGTGGGCGGGCAAAAAATTTACATTTTACATTTACATTCTACATTTACATTAAAAAAATTACTTTTTTTTAACTGAAAAATCAGATTTTCAAAACTCTTCCGTTTTTTATCTCAAATCAGCAAATTTCTGAAAATGAATGAATCTTTCGGAAAGAATGAATGAAAGGAAAGTATCCAAGTTCCAAAATGTATCCAAGAAAGGAAAGTATACAAGTTCCTAAATGATAATTTTCAAGGTGAATGCAAATTTTAGCAAAGTAGCCGGCTATTGAATGCCTAGCTAGTTGGTAATAATCAAATCATTTGGTATTAATCAAATCAATCAAAAGTTTTAGCTGTGTCCTTGTGGTGTTCGTTGAGCCGTTGCTCTGCTCGATTGGCTTCCTCTTAAATTGCGCCTGCGTTTTCGTCTTTATATCGTAAGTTCTATAAACTTCCAAAAAAATAGAGAAGCTTAAGAGCTTTCAAATGAATTAAAGCACCTCCAAAAGCATCAATGCTAAGTAATTCTTATGACTTCTTACAAATCACTGTACAAATCACTGTAACAGTGATTTGTAGTCTGACTCAATCGCTTCGACTACGCGCCAGTACAGTCCGTCAAGTTACAAACCACCGTAACTTTCTTTAGCATTGATGCTTTTGGAGGTGCTTTAATTCATTCGAAAGCTCTTAAGATTCTCTATTTTTTGAGCTATAGATCCTGTCAATCGGGGAGATTTGAAGGCAAATGCAAAAGAAAAATGACTTAAAAAATGACGTTCAGCGTATCGAACAATGCGTATTTCCGAAAAACCTCATTGCTCACATACTTGGTGGCGCTTTCAATCTGTAATGGTTTACAGCTACTCCTTTCACTATTTGTAATCGTTTTACCAGCAATCGAACAGGTATTGAAATGTAAAAGATTTAAACTGAAGATCTAAACTAAAGATCTAAACTGGAAAATCTAAACTGGAAAATCTTTAGTTTGTCTCAATCACGTCAGAGGATTTGATGAGAAATCTATTGAAGATTTCCTCGTTCTCGGTTCGTTATGGCTATCCACTTTTATTGACGGTTAACTATGCTGCAATTTGGCTTCTCACATTGATTTGTGCGCAGAGATTTCAGGTGAATGAATGGACAAAATCAAAACGAATATTATGGACTAAATTTTCCTACTAATTTCTCTGTTACTATGTTTCAAGTCCCAGTCTACCCGAACCGAGCTAGGACTGGCTGTTCAGCAAGCTCATCTGCTTTAGTTAAGCCTGCTTTAGTTTATCCTAACCTAACTTAATTCACATAAATTACTTGTCAACTACTACTTGGACATCACAATTTGTACAAAATTTCAATTCTTCCGGCGGAAATCCGGCTCTTTTCAGTGGGAAAAGCTATCATTTAAAAAAACTAGGAAAAAACTGCTTTAGTTAAGCCTTATCCTAATCCTCAAGAGAATCCAACTCAAAGCCAACTAGGCTTTGAGTTGGAGGCTTTTGAGGCTTTTCTTGGGAAAAAGGGTTAAAATAAACTCCGCCAATAGATTCTACCAACCTTAGGCACAAAATTGGGCACTAACCGAAAACCTTAGGCACAAATTTAAAACACTAAATCTCATTTGGAAATCATTTACAAAACAAAAGAGAAATCCTGATGTAACTGACCATATGTTCTTTGTGCGGCCGCGTAATCGCTCGCCGTCTGGCACATGCTCTAGATAGATAGGTCCATTACAAAGGACCCTTACAAGGGAGGAGGGTTCCCGATCCTTGGCATTCTTTCGATCCTTGGCTTTCGTCTGTTTTCAGCGTAAAATTTCGTTGTGCACAAATTCATAGGATCAATTTTAGAATCCGCCCCCAAATTTGGCTATTTATAATTTGGCTATATTGACAAAACCCACTCGAACCCCAAGAGATCCGGAGTGGCCAAAACTTTGATCATTTTTAAGGAAAATGGAATGATTTACGTGTGGAAAGCGTCAATATTACTATTAGATGAAGAAAAGAAGAACGGTTGGAGTAGAAATAAATGCAAGAAGAAGTTTCATTGGAAATTTATTCTAACTTTGACACTTTCTAGAATTTCAATTGTAATGCTGAAGCATTTTCACAAAATCTGATCGAGAACCAACGAAAAATTACAGGCAATTTGCCATCCATCAAGCCCATGGAAGAAGCGACTCTCAGCGATCCGAAATGCCCGTCTTGCTGTGATTATTGTTATTCTTTTAGCAATAGGTCAAAAAAATAAGTAATATAGATAAGAAAATTAAAAATTTTAGGTTTAAATATCATCCGGTTCTGGGAGTTCAAGTACAACGAAGAGGATAGGGTGGTGACCACTGAGTTAAGAGAGCATTTGCTGTACAAATTGATTCAGGTAAACGATAAGAATGTCTGAAATGTCTGCAATGTCTGCAATGAGATTTCAAAAGAAAAATTCGAATCATTTTAGGAGGGAGTTGTGTATGGAATGATCGTTTATGGTCTCCCAGCTGGGCTTCTTCTCTGGCTGAATGGGAATATTTTGGCATTGCTTAAAAAGGATAAGGTAGAAAGCTAATTAGATAAACTTTGCTTTGCTAATTAGATAAAGTTACAAAGCTACTACAGAGCTACAAAGCTACTACAGAGCTACAGAGCTACAAAGCTACAAAGCTACTACAGAGCTACAGAGCTACAAAGCTACAAAGCTACTACAGAGCTACAAAGCTACTACAAAGCTATAAAGCTACCACAGAGCTACAAAGCTATTACCGAGCTACAAAGCTACTACAAAGCTATAAAGCTACTACAAAGCTACAAAGCTATTACCGAGCTACAAAGCTACTACAAAGCTACAAAGTACAATTTCCTGATAATAAATGTGCTATTTAGTGCTATATAATGATATTCATATATATTACTGTGGTCTACAGTAGCTAGGTTTAAAGTACGCAAGGTTACAGTAAACTGATTACTTTGTGTTGACTTTGTTGAGTATAACTAAATCTGTAAACACGTTTATCACTGCACCATAACTGTAATCAGGCACTGGAAATCAACCAGATAACAGTAATCGATTAATTGCTTATTTCTAGGTAAACATTTGGAAGTGAATCGATGAGAATTTTCAGCCAATCGCTTCTTCAACTCGACGTGATTCGGAGACTCGTGCTGCGCATCTCACCGTCTGTGTGTTTCTCTTTTTCTTCCTCTGCTCAACACTTTCTGCCTCAATTCGTCTTTTCATGTAAGTTAATAAAAGATTCTATTTAGATATAAATAGAATTGAAGATATGAAATAAAGTGCGCAAGCTTTAATTTATTGTATTCTCTCTAATAGTAGTGCACCTAAATTCCTCGAAATCTCGAGAACCGCTTATCAGAACCTATCGATGTGGGGTCGGAAAATGTAGCTGACGATGTGATCTTGTGGGGGATTTGAGTGTTGAGCTTCTGGGAAAACTTAGAAACTGTAAAATAGTCATCAACTCGGCTCGCCGGGATGCACTACTATTAGAGAAAATACGGTATATGAATTCTTAAACATAGAACCGATAGAAAGCAACGATAATGTATGTAATATTAGCACAGATAAAGGCAAGAATCAACTAGAGCTTTAAGATCAAGATCATCCACAGATTTAAAGGCTTAGAGATTTTGAAATTCTCTTAAAACAATAGTTCAAGTTAGGCAATAGTTCTGGCAGCTTCTTATTGAAAAAGAGTTATATGGATTATTAAATATGATTGAAATTTCTAAAACAAAAGAATCTCTTCTTGAATTAAATGTGGAATTAAGTTTAAATAAATCTCAAAAAAGATGGATCTGCCTTTGCTCTACCTTTTGAAGTAATAAAGAAGTAAAGGAATTGGTAAGAAAAAGTTGACTTCCGGAGAAAGGACTGAACTTTGCCTCTTGCCTTCGCTCTACCTTTTGCAGGCAATTGCTTCCAGGGAATTGCTCTAGCCACTGAGCTATCCGGCACTTTAACTTGCCAAGAGAAAGAGGGAAAGACAAGGGGGAAGAAGAAAGGAAGAAAGGAAGAAAGAGAGGCTTCCAAGAGAGTTAAAATCAAAAAATTTTCAATTTTAACTAAAGTACTTCAAAAAAAGGCAATAAAGATCGTAAATAGAGAAACAAAAAAAGACTATTGCTTTTAAATAAAACAGAAACAGTTTTGAACTAATCCTTGGTTTAAGGATCGTTGCTGGAGATGTGGTTGAATCGTGGTATTGGCTAGTCGATCTTTCCAATCTTCTCATGAATATTTTTGCGCTTATCACACCGATTCTTTGCTATATTTTCACAAGGGGATTCAAGGTAAAAGTGTTTGAAGTGTTTGAAGAAGAAGAACAAGAAAAAACAAGCACAGAAAATCGGGATCTATGATAATCTGATATAAAACTATAAAAACTTGGGATTTCAACAATTAGAGACAACAATTAACAAGAGTACCAGACTGGGAGTGTACTTTAAGCACAAAATGGAAACGTTTACCTTCTAGTATTGTACTACTAGTATTGTACTTCTAGTATTGTACTTCTAGTATTGTCCTTCTAGTATTGTACTTCTAGTATTGTCCTTCTAGTATTGTCCTTCTAGTACTGTCCTTCTAGTACTGTCCTTCTAGTACTGTACTTCTAGCATTGTACTTCTAGCATTGTACTTCTAGTACTGTCCTTCTAGTACTGTACTTCTAGTACTGTACTTCTAGTACTGTACTTCTAGTATTGTACTTCTAGTATTGTCCTTCTAGTACTGTCCTTCTAGTACTGTCCTTCTAGTACTGTCCTTCTAGTACTGTACTTCTAGCATTGTACTTCTAGCAGTACTCTAGTACTGTCCTTCTAGTACTGTACTTCTAGTACTGTACTTCTAGTACTGTACTTCTAGTACTGTACTTCTAGTACTGTACTTCTAGTACTGTACTTCTAGTACTGTACTTCTAGTACTGTACTTCTAGTATTGTCCTTCTAGTACTGTCCTTCTAGTACTGTCCTTCTAGTACTGTACTTCTAGCACTGTACTTCTAGCACTGTACTTCTAGCACTGTACTTCTAGTACTGTACTTCTAGCACTGTACCTCTAGCACTGTACTTCTAGCACTGTACTTCTAGCACTGTACTTCTAGTACTGTACTTCTAGTACACTCATTTAAGCTCAAAACTTTCCGATCTGGTAAATAAGGAAAGATGATTGTTCAGGGTTCAGAAAGGTTTAAAAAGATCAAAAAGTTTATCTACCTTTTTACTAAAGTTATCTACATTTTACTACATTTTACTTTATCTTTTTAATTGTTCTTTATCTACTAAAGTACATAAAGAAGAATTAAAGAGTAAAATCTTTCAGGATTTAAACTTTTAACATCATTTTTTATCATTTTTTAACATTTCAGGATCTCTTCTTTGTCATCCGTCAACCAAAAGCCAAAGACGCATTGGTGCCATATTTGGAGGATGTAAGCGATCGACGGCAGAGTCATTTGTTGCTTCAGAATTCCTCGAATTCTCCTCATCATACAGCACAACTTGTTTGAGTACAATTAACATTAAAATCAATTATCTAAAAACATCTACCGTATTTTCTGTAATAGTAGTGCAGTCTGTAATAGTAGTGCAGGCTGGAGGGGGGTTGAAAAAATAGTAGTGCGTACTACTATTACAGAAAATACGGTATACATATTTTTCTACCCAATGATTTCTCTTTGTTTTCCCTCGAAATGTCAGCCCAAAAACCATGAGTGCTTTATGAGATACGGGATTTGATTCATTTTTTTGATTGAGTACAGTATTTTGATAGTAATTATACTTGTCGATAACTGAATATCTTAAAATTTGGAATTTAAAACTTGCTGCATAACACTGCATAAATTCTATAGTTTTAAATGCTTTGTCATTCTATTGATTCTATTCTTTGCTTTGCCATGCTTTGCCAACAATTCTGCCAGGATCATGGTTGTTTTAAAGACAACCCTGCCGTTTACTGGTTTTTTTGAGCTGGTCGAATGCCAGGCCGTTTACTGTAGGATTTTTATAACAAAGTTTTGAAAAAACCTCTGGCAAAGACATTCTAGGGTCTGCAAGCGAGTCCAAGTCAGTGAACGGATCCAGGCCTGGCTTGGCTCCTTGACTTGGCTTCTGACAGCTCTTGGAACAGGTGACAGCTCCTTGAACTCCTTGAACGACAGCTCCTTGAACGAATTTAGCCAAAGCCTGGCATACTTCATCTAGTTTAAAAGCGCTAGTATTTAGTCGGATTGTCAAATGTCAAATGATAAATGTCAAAGTTGCAAAAGGATTCAGTTATCGACAAAATTGGAGTCTAAACCAAAGCAAAATTGAGTTTAATAACTCAGTAATCTTAATAACTTGTATGCAAATAACAGTGAACACTTGTTTTTTGAGAAATTAAACGTTTTCTTGCTCAATAAATGATTTGTACAGAAGTTGAATGAAAAAAATCAAAAAAAAAACAAGAAAAATATGTTTAAAAGAAGAAAACAAACCTTAAACAAACAGTCTTTTATCAAATTTTAAAAAAAATGACATTTTTATGTGTTTATTGAAAGCTATTGATCAATCTCTATTCAGATTTTACAATGAAAACTTTGGGAAATAAAATTCCCGAAAAATAAATCAAAAAGCAACACGTGTCTTTGTGTGCGGAGGAGTGGAAGAATTGATGTCTGACGCAATATTTGAGGCAATTTGCACATGGGATTTCCACTCGGTTTTTTGCTTTTTCTTTTGCTGTCTTTTGCTGTCTTTTGCTGTCTTTTTGGGGAACATTCTGGCTGTCTTTTGAGGAAAAGACAGTCAGAATCCTCTTCCATTCTTTTTCTTTTTCGTTTCGGAAATTCTTTCGAAAGTTTACACAATTTTTCACTCTTCTTTGAGTCATATTTAAGGTCGAAAATCTACAGTTAAATAGATTTTTTTTTCATTTTTCATTTGAGTGTACTTTGTAATTAAACAAATTACCTTGTAATTAAACAAATTATCTTGTACTTAAACAAATTACCTTGTACTTAAACAAAGTACCTTGTACTTAAACAAAGTACCTTGTACTTAAACAAAGTACCTTGTACTTAAACAAAGTACCTTGTACTTAAACAAAGTACCTTGTACTTAAACAAAGTACCTTGTACTTAAACAAATTACCTTGTACTTAAACAAATTACCTTGTAATTAAACAAAGTACCTTGTAATTAAACAAAGTACCTTGTACTTAAACAAAGTACTTTGTACTTAAACAAAGTACCTTGTACTTAAACAAAGTACTTTGTACTTAAACAAAGTACTTTGTACTTAAACAAAGTACCTTGTAATTAAACAAAGTACTTTGTACTTAAACAAAGTACTTTGTACTTAAACAAAGTACCTTGTAATTAAACAAAGTACTTTGTACTTAAACAAAGTACTTTGTACTTAAACAAAGTACCTTGTACTTAAACAAAGTACCTTGTACTTAAACAAATTACTTTGTACTTAAACAAAGTACTTTGTACTTAAACAAAGTACTTTGTACTTAAACAAAGTACCTTGTACTTAAACGCACCCTTTCTAGTGCAATGATTTCTGCAATTTTCTTGCGATCATATCAAAAGAAATAGAGTATCAAGTGTATTAGAAAAGATGCGTTTATAATTTTTAAACAATAAAGTACACAAAGTACACTTCAAAAAAAACCACAATTATGACTTTTCTTTTGAATAATTTTTACTGAAATTTCAATGATATCAAATTTTAAAACTATTTTTTAATATTTAAGAAGTTTTCGAAAAGTTCTAGCAAATTGAAACTTTTCTCACTTGAAACCTTAGAACAACGCGAACAACGTATTTTTGCTATCAAGATGCCATAGAATTGTTTATGGAAAGAGAAAGATCATTGCATTGCATTGACAAAAATGCATTTCAAACCGACACCGATTATTCACTGAAATTTCTCATGCTAAAACATTCTGAACTTTCTTCAAACTCAATATTTCTTTAATATGTTTTTAGATAAATGATCCTCAGACATTTCTTTTCATTTTTAACCTCTAACTTAAACCTTAGAACAACGCCGTCTTATCATAGATTTGGTTGAGTGCTTTAAAATTGTAAAAGGAAAACATCAAAACCCTCTTTTTAAAAATCTTTTTCGACTAAACTCGAGGCTTTTGGCGTCTATTGACGTGGCTCTTTTATCTTGCATCCCGAATCTGCTTTCTCTAAATCCTCTAGAGCTTTTTTCGTAAATCGTGTGACTAAAGTTTGGAATGCCCTTCCCGACAAGTTGCGTTTGATCTCCACCGTATCTGATTTTAATGTTGTCTGTCTGAATGTCTGTCTGAATGTCTGTCTGATTTTAAAAGGGCTATTTCGTTGCATTTTAAATGACTTTGTCATCTTTTATCTAGTACATTTTTCATGTCGTTTTCGCATTTTATTTCTTTCTGAATAAAAAGTATTTATATATATGTTGTGTCCGATTTAGATTTCCGTCCGATTTAGATTACAGTCTATATCGGACGTCCGATTTAGATTACAGTCTATATCGGACGTCCGATTTAGATTACAGTCTATATCGGACGTCCGATACAGATCGAACAATAATAAACGTGCTTAATATATGTTCTTAAGCTTAAATTTCAAAGAACATATGTTAAGCACGTTTATTATTGTTCGATCTGTATCGGACGGCCGATATAGACTGTAATCAATAAAAGACCTTTGAAAAATGCAGAAAACTACAGAAAACGCTTAAGAACATATATTAAGCATGTTTATATTATTGTTCAATCCATATAAGATTTAGATTGAATCTAAATCGGACGTCCGATATAGACTGTAATCTAAATCGGACGTCCGCGATAAGTTCAATCTTAATCGGGCGTCCGATTTAGATTGAATCTAAATCGGACGGAAATCTAAATCGGACACAACATATACATTTTCAGGTTTTTTTTCAGATTCTTTTTTCTATTACCTTATCAAAAAAAAAATCCGATAAGTGGTTCTGGAAAAAATGCTTTTTTTAAAGGAATTATTTCTTTTATATCATTTTTTTTCTTCAACTAAATCGATTTTGCAACTTTGAAAGTCATTTTTATTCTTTATTTTGTGACTCTTTATGTAAAGAAAGTTTTGTTGTTATTAAATTAAAAAAAGAAAACTTTCAAAGTGGCAATTACTTCAAAAAAATGTTTCAAAATTGTTTCAAATTGCTTTTTTTTTGATAATTTTCGAAGAAATTCATAGAAATTACAAATTCTCAGCGGAATTTCTGATAACTTTGCGTGTAAAAAGGGAATCGATTGGTGAACAAATCCAGAGAATCTCCTCTTTTTCTTCTTTTTCTTCTTTTTCTCCTCATCTCATCCCGGGATTGGACTTTTTGGCTTCTACTTAGAAGTATTACGTAGAAATATTCCTAAACTTATCGAGATTTTGACTCTAATGTTTTTCATCGATGTATCGATGTTGTTGTCGAAAAAATAGCACGCGACCGATTGATCGAAATTTCGAGGAGAAAGATTTGTGAGTGGCTTTTGGGGAAGAAAAAATGACGTTTACTTGAAGGGTACAATTTGGATTTTTACTTTGTTTAACTAACTTTTTAACTGTTTAACTAACTTTTAACTTTGTTTAACTAACTTTTAACTTTGTTTAGAAAGATTTATCATAGCAGAAGTAGTGAACTAACGATGAAATATAGAAGTAGAGTGTGTTCTTCACAAATAAAACATTCTTAAAGGCACTATCATAGTTTTTACTATATTATTTAACAATAAAAAATGGCAAAAAAATTTTCAAGAAGTCCTTTATATAAGGCTGCAAAAAAGGCTATTCATTCGTTTGATTGAATATCTTATTTTGGGAAAGTTTTATCTAAAAGGAGCCATGGATAGCTGGCTATTCGGGGGGTGGGACAATTGCGACCTTTTTTTTGCGCACCTGGACATTTGCGCACCTTTTTTTGCTGGAAAAGACTTTAGGAAAAGTCGTAGAGCTTCAAAAATGTTTTCCTAGAAGGAAATCGTATGCGTAGATTCCGAATTTCGACAAATCAAACCTCGCTGACACGTTAAATTTGAGCTAAAAGGCAAAAACTACGCAACTTAACGCTTTTCCGCAGTTTTTGCCTTTTAGCCCAAATTTGACGTGTCAGCGAGGTCAGATTTGTCGAAATTCGGAATCTACGAATACGATTCCCTTACATGGAAATATTTTCGAAGCTCTACGGCCTTGCCTAAGGCCTTTTCCAGCAAAAAAAAAGGTGCGCAAATGTCCAGGTGCGCAAAAAAAAAGGTCGCATTTGTCCCACCCCCGCAATTCGCATCGAAATTTTAGAGCGCTTTTTAAAACGCCTTATTTAAGGTTTAGCTTATTTATTTAACGTTTATTTGACGCGTTATTCAAATAAAAAATTATTTAAGTAAATTTATTCAAATAATTATTTGTTTGAAAGAAACACACTCTACATAAAAATGGCTTTTAAAACCTACCGTAAATACTGTAATAGTACCCCATCCCCATAATGACGGTGCGGAGTGTTGAGTAGTCTAGCTTTGAACGAGTTTATGTCGAGTTTAACGAGTCTCGACACTGGTTTATGCTACAATGCGCGCTTAGGTATCAAAAAATAGCCCTGAATTTCAGCTATTTTTTGATACCAAAGACGCATTTTTTGAAAGTACAAGCGCTTTGAAAAAAATGAAATACTAAAAAACTTTTGCGACTACGCGACTGTACGAGGGGGGTGGGGTACTATTACAGTATTTACGGTAGTCATACCGGTTTTTTTAGCTTGACTAACTTTTAGGTAAACTAAAATAAAAACAAATGAGTTTAGACAATTTGAAAGGTTGATTTGGGGTTTGCTTATTCGGCTTTGATTTATTCAAGATCTTGTTTTGATTAGTAAACCCAGCTTTAGTCTTTGAAATTGAAAAATGACATTGAAATCTCAAGATGTTCAGCAAAGGAAGTAATAAAGAAGTAAAGGAATTGGTAAGAAAAAGTTGACTTCCGGAGAAAGGATTGAACTTTGCCTCTTGCTTTTGCTCTACCTTTTGCCTTTTGCTTTCCAGACAATTGCTCTGACCACTGAGCGATCCAGTACTTTAACTTGTCAAGAGAAAGAGGGAAAGACAAGGGGGAAGAAAGGAAGAAAGGAAGAAAATAAGAAGGAATAAGTCAATAATTTAACCAAACATTGTTTGCTTTAAAAGAAGGATTAGTGGAATTATTGTATCAAGTTCAAGATCCAAAAGGGATTACAATAAATTAACATTAGCAACTAAACACTTATCATCTAAAATGACTCCTTGTATCTAAAAATAGCTCTAAACACTTGCTCTTTGCCTTGATCACTTCAAAATTTGGCGATTTGACAAGTTGTGCTTTTGCTCTTTGTCAAGATCCATTGATCTCGTGGCTGGATTGCTCCTGAAATCAAATTTCAAGCGAAACTCGTCCAAATGTCTTTGACAAACGAGTCGACTTCTCAGCCCTGGGATCAGTCAGACAGCTGATAAGAGGTGTTCTTTGTATTGGGAAGAGACAAGGCTTGTCTCATTCGAAAACAAAGTGTTCACACATCTGACCCGAATGATGTTTCACATGTGAAACGGTGATGGGATTCGCCTTATCGAAGTTGACCTAAACCTTGCTATATAAAGATGGGTTGACAGGGAAAAGTAACGTCAATCACCGTTCCAAAAACTGTACAAGTACAAGCTATTTGAAAACTATATTCCTGGTAACTCAATTTTCTGACTCAAAACAAATACTGTTCTAAATTGGTTCTCTATCAAGGTCAATATCTTCTTTTACATTTTGTCCAATCATTTACTCATCAATCTCTCTGTGACCTTCCCTTGTAAACAATGCGCTACTCAAAAGTCTCATTCGATGATCTCCCCGAACACGCTCGCAAAATGATATTCTATTTGGTGCTTTCACTGTCGGCTATTTCGCTGTTCAGGTTTGTTCAGGTTTTTAGTGGACTTTTTAGACTTGTTTGACTGTAAAGCATTGGAAAAGCATTGGAAAAGCATTTTTGTAACGCTTTTGAAAACATAGGAACTTTATATCGTAGAAAATCCTTCATACATTAGAAAAAGGGCTTTAATTGCTATCTAATAGCTTTAAATCTTCTTTTGCTTTGTTCCAATCTTATTTGAAATGAAATTCCGGACGAAATTCTGGAAGAAAGTTGTTTTCTAAAGCTTGGATAGCTTGAAAAAGAGTCATTTTAAAGTTAAAGTTAAAGTTCTTGAGGAATAAATATCGCAACGTCTTGATTTTTCATCGAAAGTTTCAGTCAATTTTTCTTTTTGCCCAAGTTCTTGAAGTTTTTAGCGTAAGCAACTGAGAAATTCTTGTGCCCTCTTTCCCCTTCAGCAAAACGTTTCACTCCAAATGACGGATTATCTCGCTTTTTCTCGAAAAAGACCCTGTTCCACAAATTTTACGGAATTTATCTTTTTGAAAAGCTGCGTAGAACTTTGAAATCTTTAGAGCGCAAATGATTTTGGCGACAATTTTCCTATTTGAGTTGTTGAAATCAGGATCGACGTTAGTTTGGATGTGTGAATTGCGCTTTAAGATGCATGCATTTTAAGATTTTTGATATTTCTTTGCCATTCTAGGATCTTTTCTTTGGGTGCCATTTCTGCTATTTTTCCGCTTACTAAGGTTATTTCTTTAAGGCTGCGTGCTTGGTCGGTTGCGTCTGCTGCAAAAGTTCTATGAACCGCGCTCTGCTTGGCTGCCGCAAGCGATTTCTCGTTCCGTTTGTCGACTCGATATTTTCTGCGCCGATTTCGACTACTTCGTGCCTAAAAAGGTCCTGTTTTTTCTAAATTTAGCAGTAGTTAGGTAGTAAAAGAGGGGTTAAATCGAAAGAAAGAATATCTCATTCTTCAGCGCTGCTAATTCGAGATATTTCTAGGATGACGCTGTTTTGTTCACTAATTTTGCTCACTAATTAAGAGCCTTTGTTCAGTTCGTTTTGAGAAAATGCTCAAGTAGGTAAATTTATGCGATTGGATTTGGAGCTCTATATAAGATTTCCCTTTCCTTTTCTTTCATTCATCTTTTAAAAAATTATCTTAAGAAAATTTGCATTGTTTCTCGTTCTCATTAGTCCGCTTTTGATTCTTTCCTCCAACTTTTTTCATAATCATGTTTTCCTGGTTCCGGTGTGGTTTCTGCTTTCGCCGCAGTAAAATTGGCGAATTGCAAGACGTCTCCGAGGCGTTTAATAGGTTTGCAACTTTTTATCCTTATTTTGAAATCCAACTTTTGGTATCCCTTTCGGGTAAAGTAGAACAACTTATTTTTGACCTCCGGTTTCTCATTTTTGATCAACCGCCTCTCAATGTGGGTGACGCCTCTAATCCTACTTAGTGTGCCTATTTCTATTGTTGTTGAGGGCCGACTGTGACTGCAGGATTCGTGTAACTTGATGTAGCTCGTCTTTTGACTAGGTCTAACCATCTTGCAATCTCAGTAACAAAATATGGAAGGCTTATACATCAGTAAGCCATTTCTTTTCATTATTCCACTAATGATGGTGATCATTCTCTATCTTTTGTTGCAAGTGTCTCGGCTTGGAAGTGACACTTGCACAGTCATCATTCCGAGATATGTTGAGATTCCGATGGTTATCAGCGAACCTAGTGAAGCTCCACATGCTTTACCATTGGATATGCCTTCAACGGCTTTCACTTCGACGATCTTGTCTAAAGTTTTGAATACTACGACTACTCTGGCAGCTACTGCCCCCGAAATATTGAGCTCAACCACTTCCGCCCCAGAGATTTTGCAGATATTGGATCAAGCTGCCGAGATTTTAAATAATGGCACCTCATTAGAGGCAAATTCTGTGACTCAAGCTGTTTCTCTTGTTTCTAATGCATCGTCATTTGAAAATTCTACTTTAAATAGCAATTCTTCATCCGAAGAAGATGAAGAAGAGTACGCTTTCTTAATTTTAATTGTACATCATCCTAATGTTGTTATTATTTTTAATTTTAGATCTTTGACGACAGCTACTCCTTTACGGGTTAACCAGTCATCAGCGGGAATGTCTGGAGACGGATCTCAATACACTTTGGAGGAACGTGGCTCGCTCTACACCCTTGACTACCGAATCTATTTCAGTAAGTGTTTTTTTGATTAAAGTTAATAATTTTAAGATCTATAATATTCTTTTAAATCTAAAACCTAAATTGGAAAAACTATTTTTGTTTTTTAGAGGGACCACAGGGCTACATTTCTCCATTCCATGATATTCCACTCTTTGCTGATGAGGCCAATAAGGTCTACAACATGATTGTCGAAATTCCACGATGGACCAATGCCAAGATGGAGGTTTGCGCTTTTTATGGATTTCCATAATTTTGTTGTTTTTAAGATTGCAACCAAGGATCCCCTCAACCCAATCAAGCAAGACGAAAAGAAGGGCGTTGCTCGCTTTGTGCATAACATCTTCCCACACAGGGGATACATCTGGAACTACGGAGCTCTTCCACAGGTAGATTTGGGATTTGTCTTCATCAATTTTCAATTTTCTAGACTTGGGAAGATCCCAACCATATTGTGCCCGACACTGGAGCCAAGGGGGATAACGATCCAATTGATGTGATCGAAATCGGCTCGCAAGTTCGTCAACGTGGAGCTGTTGTTCCTGTAGGTTCTAGTTTATTTTGGATCGTGAAAAATTTTTCTTTTATTTATTCATAGTTTTAGGTGAAACTTATCGGCACTTTGGCTCTTCTCGACGAAGGAGAAACTGACTGGAAGCTGGTGACAATTGCTGTTGATGATCCGCTTGCTGCTCAAATCAACAACACTGCCGACGTTGAGACTCACTTCCCTGGATTGTTGAAGGTTAGTGTTAAGGAATTTTTGCAATTTTCAATCAGACTTTTGTGCATTTGATAAATTATGCTCATCTTTAGGCTACTTTCGAATGGTTCAAGCACTACAAAATTCCCGCCGGAAAGCCAGCCAACGAGTTCGGATACAACGGCGAGTACAAGGAGGCTGACTTTGCTCACAAGGTTATTGTGCTTGGTTATGCGAAAATAAATCTGTTTTTTAGGTCATTGCTGACACTCACGAATATTGGAAAGCGCTCATGAAGGAGACGTCGCCCGAGCTTAACACGCAATCACTTCAGCCAAATGCCGTTCATCAAGCCACTCAAGAATCTTGGGCTGCTGAAGTGAACCGACAGCCGGCACATGTAAGCTTCAGCTTTGTGTAGTGTTAAATAAAGGAGTTTAATAGCAGGCTACAATTGTTTATTTTTATGGAGAGTTACATTTTGTTAATTTCAGGGTGATGCTGCTAAGATTCCACAAGAGGTCGACAAATGGCACTTCATTCAATTCTGACTGACCGGTCCCGCATCAACACAATCCTCGTCGTCTTCAAAACTATAGTTCATTTGTCAATTTAACTTATTGTCTTTTCTTTAGAGTTGATTGTTGTTGACTCGTATATAATTTCTTTATTTCGAGATTTTTCTCGGAGTGCTTCTAGGCATTCCGGTTTGAAATTCTTTTTGCCTCTTGAGCACTTGACGACCTATACCGATGATGTATTCCGTGTTTTGGATTTTCTATGGCATTTTATCGTGTATCGTTTTTGAGAATGGTGATAGCATGAATGTTTTTTATTTGTTTCGAGAGATTTTCAAATAATTACACGCACATGTGAATCGGACCCGTATTTGAGAAAAAAATGCGAAATCACTGCTAAAGAGATCAACGAACGAAAGGAAGATATGTGTGAGAATCGTACGATTGTTGGAATAGAAAAGGCAAGGCAAGATTTAAATAATGGTTTGATTAGTTGAGTAAGTTAAAAGCATGAAATCTTGAAACAATAGCGCAGAATGCTACCAAAAACGTATTACGATAGCTCATTAGCTCATTCTATATTGGAATCAGTACTTCACACGTTTAACAAGGATTTGGAGAATGACGACTCGTGGAACTTGGGTTACTTGTACCGGAAAGGGCCGATAATGGTCTGCCATCGGTGGTCTTTCGAGATTGATTGGGCGAATGACAACCATTAAGGGAATTGGAGTAGGTTTGAGTGATGACTGGATGCGAACCATTCATCACCTCTTTCACTAGTGGACTTGTCGGAATGCTGCTCACCGATGTGTTCGAGCATTTGCTGTCCTCTTTCTTCGATAGCCGCAGCGGGTACTTGATGAATTTCATCTTCTCGCCGGTCACCTGGAATTTTTTTTGTTTTTTGAAGAAGTGATTCTTAAATTGGCTTTTAGAGCATTTGATCATGAAAATATCGAATTTTTTGTACTTTGTGCTCACAATTAGAAACACACCTCTTCTGGCGCACTCAAACTGATTTCTTGATTGAGAAAATGAAGAAGATTGGTGTGCCAGATGAGGTGTATTTCGAATTTTAAGCACAAAGTTCAGCTTTGGTATTGAAATTGAGCTAATGACCAAATGCCTCATAGCCATAGCACTGAACTTTATTTAGCAACCGATTCAACTTGCAAAAGCTTTCCTTTGAAAAAAGCATTCTCAAATAATAGTTTTCTCGAAATGAAAAGATAGAGAAGCAGAGGATTGGGAAAGAGAAAAAATGAAAAATCGACGTGCACAAAAAAGGAAAAAAGAGCTTCGCGAGACAAACGAAATTTTGAGAAATTTTTCAAAAATGGGATCTCGGGCATAAACGAACCTCACTATCTGAAAAGTCTTCGCTCTTGAATTTTTGCGGTGGATTAGGGAAATGTTTCGAATCGCTTACTCGACACGATTGAGTCGTTTTCCCGCGAGCCATCCCTGGTGGGCAAACGGATGGCGTACACGAGACGGTCAAACGGGGAGCCACTTGAGATGAAGACTGAAAAAAATTTGCGTAAGTTTAGGAAAACAAAAAACTCTTTAAAGAAAGACTCTTTTCAAGTTATTTAAATAGATTTTTTTCAAGTTCAGTTAGTTCAAACACTTGAAAAGAGATCTTTCTCTGTACTTTCTATATGGTTAGCGTCACGTCAAAGCTTTGTTAGTAAATGGGTAACTCGTGACACGAAAGCTCTGTGTCTGTGAGTGACCTGAGTACCCGTTCCTTGAGCTAAAAAAAAGATTAGAAATCAAGTTTGAAAGAATATTGAAAAGGAAAGCTTTGAAAAGCTTTTGAACAAATGAATAAAGGAAATCACCACAAATGAACTTAAGTAAAAGCTTTTGGATAGAAGATTTGGGATTTGTTTTTTTTGGGATAGAAGCATTGCATTCGTTTTTAGGTTGATAGAAAATCGATTTGATTGGTCACAAGATAGGCTAAGGAAGAAGTTTTCAAGTTTCGTTTTCGTTTTCGAATTTATCAAATCAAATTAGACCAATTAAATTCGAGTTCAAATTGGTAGAATCAACGAATAGCTTCAATCGATTCGCCGGAAGAAGCTGTTAAATTACAAAGCCGATTTCGCCGATTTGCCCTCTGCCGATCTGCTCAAAATGCCCAGAGTTTTGGGTTCAATTTCTCCTACAACTCCCAAATCCCGTTTAGCCATTGTTTTACTTAAAAAGCAGTTAAACTGAGAGAACAATGCGATGTGGAATCGCATTGTTCTCTCAATTTCTCTTGTTCTCTTGATTCTTTTGTGACCAAAACAAATTCTATTTTACATCATAGCCTTATCTACAAGGGTTTTTGTATATCTACTGGGTAGAGTTCTAAAGATTCAATCGGAAACTGACTAGCCCGAGCCTAGTAGCCCTAGTGACTAGTAGCCCGAGCCTAGTAGCACTAGTGACTAGTAGCCCGAGCCTAGTAGCCCTAGTGACTAGTAGCCCGAGCCTAGTAGCACTAGTGACTAGTAGCCCGAGCCTAGTAGCCCTAGTGACTAGTAGCCCGAGCCTAGTAGCCCTAGTGACTAGTAGCCCGAGCCTAGTAGCCCTAGTGACTAGTAGCCCGAGCCTAGTAGCCCTAGTGACTAGTAGCCCGAGCCTAGTAGCTCTAGTAACTAGTAGCCCGAGCCTAGTAGCCCTAGTGACTAGTAGCCCGAGCCTAGTAGTTCTAGTAACTAGTAGCCCGAGCCTAGTAGCCCTAGTGACTAGTAGCCCGAGCCAAGCGACACTTGCTTTTTAGTAACTCCTTTTGTCCTGTGATTGCATCGCTGAAGTTTGAAAAGTTAAGCAAAAGTTTAGAATGTTAATTGAAGAATATTGACCAGAAGAAAGCTTTACCTTGTTTTGAAATTAAAAAACTGAATTTGAAACACTGTTACCTGTCTTCTCGAGTCGTTTCTCTCGGCGCCACTGACGCTCAGTTGCCGGGCTCGTTTCTCCTCTTTCTTCATCATATGTAATCTATAAATTTGTGCTTATTTCACTACGCTATTGATCATTAGCGTATAGTGTGTCAAATTTACAGTAAGCTTGAAAGAAATCATGCATTTACAATAGCTTAAGTGTCTTTATTTATGTCTTTATGTCTTTTTCATTAGCATAAAATAGTATAAAATGGTTAAAATGCTAATGTAAAAGTACTAGAAATTGAATTGAATAGAATTCTAAATAGAATTCGTCAAAGCAAAACAAATAACGAACCTTAAACGTCTCTCCAACCATCGCTTTCGTCCAAAATAGGCCAATGAGTTGGTCGCCGAGTTGAGCACAATCATGAAATCTAGAAAAGAATATTTTCAAGGTTTTCAAATGAATACAGTATTCAGTTGATAGAAGAATAGAGATTTAATAATTGGAAATCTTTTTTTGTTAAGGATCTAATCATATAAAAAATTTCAATCACCAGAAACCCGAACGAGAATCGAGAGAACGACGCCGAACGATTGAATTCCGTACATATTCTCCCAAACATCAAAGAAAACGGGCATTGATCTGAAAATAGGAAATTATTCTAGAAAATACTGTTTACTAAACAGTAAACTATTGGAAATCCTTTAAAATTGTTTTTGGTATATAATAAGATGTATTTTATCTTGATCAGAAGATCAGAAATGTATTTTATCTGGATCAGAAGATCAGAAATGTATTTTATCTTGATCTGAAGATCAGAAGTGTATTTTATCTTGATCAGAAGGTCAGAAGATGTATTTTATCTGGATCTGAAGGTCAGAAGATGTATTTTATCTTGATCAGAAGATCAGAAATGTATTTTATCTGGATCTGAAGGTCAGAAATGTATTTTATCTTGATCTGAAGGTCAGAAATGTATTTTATCTTGATCAGAAGATCAGAAGATGTATTTTATCTGGATCTGAAGGTCAGAAGACGTATTTTATCTTGATCAAAAGATCAGAAATGTATTTTATCTTGATCTGATACTCGCTTTTGATACATTTCATTTACTAACAATATTTTATAATATAAACCGAATCTAAACATCGCCTACAGATTTCTATTAATAATAAAGTTAATAATAAAGCTATTACTAGCTTTTTATTTTAGATCTGGTCAAATCATGGTTCACGCGCGTCGATGGAGTCGGTGTGGGGTCTGGAGTGTGGCGGTTGCGCACGTTTGGAGAGAGCAATCAAAGAAGTGAAAAGGATGGAAAACAAAAGCAAGATTTGAAGAGATGAAGGGAAAGAAAGGGGACAAGATGATGATGATCAATCAATCCGATCAGAAAAGGAGAGGTGATGGCAAAGAAATGAGATGAGAGGTGTTCCGACCTCCACGAGACGGCCGAGGCGTCATTCTGGCGTCGGTTTTGGCAAAGATGTCGTCACTTTTGATTTCCCTTATTCTGTTACAAAGGTAAGTATTGTATTGTTACAAGTATTGTATTCAATTATACAATTGCGGCTTCGATTCTTTATGGTTTACTGGTAAAGCATCTGTCCAGTAAAGCTTACTGGTAAAGCATCTTTCCAGTAAGCAAAAGGTCAAGGGTTCAATTCCCTTTGATTTCAAATTCTTTCTCATTCATTTCTATACTTTATGATACCGTAATATCTCTGATTTCTTGTTGTAGCAAGTAAAAATCAAGTAAAAAGCTTAAACTATAAACCTTAAGCATTAAAAGAAGTAAATTTAAGTCAAATGGACAATTAGTGTTTTCAATTTGGCACTAGAACTACGTAGGTTTGAGTAACTTGATTGACAAGGTTGACAGGATTGACAATAGCCTAGATTTTAGCCTAGTTTAGAGTTTAGTTTAGTTTAGTTTAAAGCTAGATATTATAGCTAGATGTTATAGCTAGATATTATAGCCTGAAAGGTCCTTTGAGCTAGATATTATAGCCTGAATTGAAAACTGTATGTACAAATTCTAAAACTCAACTCTTTTCTATAAAAAAAGATCAGAAATTTCAGCTTAACTTTCAGCTTAACCTCTGCCTTTATGCGCTACTATGTGCCGGCCCAAGGTCCTTCCTTGACCCTTCCCCAGCTGGCCATTCACAACGCTCAACGAATGCAAACTCAACCTCAAGGTTTTTAAAAGTTTATTAGACTCTTGTTAGCTGTTATTAGTTAAAGTTAAGTTAAGTTTAAGTTAAGTTTAAGTTAAGCTTTTTATTATAAGCTTGAATTTAAAGACTTAAAGACGGCTTTTTAAATAAGTAGTCAATGTTTAAAGGTCTTTAACTTTGTTTTAGAGATATTGTTTTAGAGATTATTGTTAGCTTTTTATATGGTTTTAAAGAGGAGACTTTAGGCTTAAAAATATATAAAATAAAGCTCACTTTGAGTCATTTGATTCTATGAAAATCAAGAAATAAAGAGGTTAAGTTGGTCAAGTTGGCTTTGATTTTTACAAGACTGAATTGGATTTATTAATTGATTAGAAGCAACATTTTGCATCATTCTCAACCCTGATTTGTCCTCGTTAAACAACAGAAAGTTAACAATTATATCTCTAAACAAAGCTATGGGCCTTTTAAACCTTTTAAAACCTTTTAAACCTTCATTAGCCTCATTCAAGACTCATTAGACTCTTTCAAAAACCGCCTTTAAGTTACAAAAGTCGTTTATTATATATCTAATTATGTCTAGGCTTTGTATTACCGCTTACTACTTATTCTGGAGCTCCGTTGGGAGTCTTTTCCGAAGCTCTTCCACCAGTGCCTCTCTCCTACTATCCAACGCTCGACTACCGTAATCCTGGACTCCTACCAGTACCGCAAATCAACTATCCAAGCTTTCTCTATCCATCAATGGCCTCAGTATCCCTGGAAACTCCAAGTCTACCGGCTGGCATGGTACCTGTCGGTCCAACTGGAGGCTTCACTAGAAATTTGGCTGTATTTGGTGAAATTCCACTTCAACAACCTCCAAGAATTCCTATCCAGACACCTCCAGCTATTCCAATTCCACTGCAAGAGTCAAGAATTCCTATCCAGACACCTCCAGCTATTCCAATTCTACTGCAAGAGTCAAGAATTCCCATCCAGACAGCTCCAGGAATTCCCATTCCATTGCAAGAACCAAGAATTCCTATCCAGGCAGCTATTCCAATGCCACTTCCAGCTCCAGATTTCCCCCAACTTCCAACCTATCTCCAGCCTCAACTGAACAATTCGATTCCTGTCCTGAATCCGATTGCCTCGTTCCCGGTAGTGGTGAACCCACAAAGAGAAGAATTCACAACTAGCAAAACAATTGCTAATTTTGACACTGAACCAACAACAAGATCTGTAACAATTGGAAAGACGAGTGCAATTCCTAGCTGGCAATATTTGGCTCCTATAAGCACGACACCGATTCCGTCTACATCTTTGGTAAGGATTTGATACCTTATTGTTGTCTGATATCGAAATTTAGCCAACAACTCGTTCCCCATTGAGCTTTCTGACTGCTATTGGACACTCGGCTATTGGACAGTTTCAGGTAAGAAATGATAAGACAGGTTTTTCTAGTCACAGCTCTCTGTGGCCTCGTGGTCCCTCTGTGGCCTCGTGGTCCCTCTGTGGCCCCGGGAGCGCGCTTCTCTACCGCCCACACGGTCCTGGTTCGGTCCCCCTAGTCCTCAACTTTAAGTCTTTTAATTCTTATCTAGCAGATATTAGAAAACTTAGCTTAAATGGATCTAACGGTTAAAAAGATCGTTTCTTCATGGCTTGAAAAGTGAACTATCGCTAAAATTCTCTTTTAGGACGCCACCACGCAGCGACCCAGATTCACGTTCACTTTTCGGCCCGTTAGCACAACGCCCATCCCAACAACAACCCCAAAAATGAGCACATTTCCACTCAATGTAAATACGCAAAAATCTCTCCAACAAACCGTGCCTCGAGATCAAATCTTTCGATTTAATCTGACTAGTCTTGCGCCAACTCAAACGACAACATGGACACCGATTCTCAAGGATTCACCAATCAATCGCGTTTTGGAAAAGGTAAAGCAAGCAATGCGGTTAAACACTGTGAGCAATGCGTATTATCAGAATTTCAGCTTTAAAATACTACCGTATTTTCTCTAATAGTAGTGCACCCTGGCGAGCCGAGTTGATTACTATTTTATGGGTTTCAAAGCTTTCACAGAAGCTCAACACTCAAATCCCCCACTAGATCTCATCGTCAGCTACATTTTCCGATCCCACATCGATAGGTTCTCGATAAGCGGTTCTCGATAAGCGGTTCTCGAGATTTCGAGGAATCTAGGCGAACCTTTTGGTGCACTGCTGTTAGAGAAAATACGGTAACAGAAAAAATGTTTAGTTCCTTTTCATTGCGTTATAGAGAGTCGACTGTAAATTAACAAATGTCTAAAAAGCAAGATTGACATTTCTTCTTAATTTAGTAAGAAAAAAAATAGATCAAACATTCAAAAGCTACCATAATCTTTCTAGATTTTCTTTCGTAATCCATTCTTCTCAATTTTTTTTTGATCAAATTCAATTCACAGTTTGATTTACAGGGAGATCAAAATTCAATAAATCGAGCAAAATTTGAAGGGAGGATCATAGCTTTTCATATTGTTATTTTTTTAGAAAATTTGTTACGCCATTTACAATATTAAAGCTTTTTTTTTCAGCTCTTTATGAAAAAGTATAATGTCGGAGAGAAGTGGAAACCGAATTTCGCACAGCAACCATTGTTTCAGGGAATTTTTTATTTAATCGAATTTTAGTATTGGGAAATTTTAGACGAATGAACCAAACGTTGGACCGTTGAAGATTGGCTCTCAATGGGGTGACCGGCTACAGGGGAAACCCTTCGCCTTCCCGAATCAGTTCAACTTTTTTGTGGGTTTAACGAGAAAAGACTCAAAGGATTTATCTGTCTAGGGAAGAGTGTGCCAGAAAAGGGATATTTACGGTAAGCACAAAGTACTCTTACATGAACTTTGTACTTTGTGGCTAAATCTGTAAAAATACCATTTCTGTATAAAATAGTATAAGAATTTGTGAAAATTGAAAATATCTTTGAAAAATAAAAATTTGACTAGTCGAGGAGTCGAACCCGTCCGGTTTAAGATCCCCATCGGTTTTGTAACCAAGCGCACTATCCTCTACACCACAACCCCAGCTGAGCTAGGCCGCCGAAACTCGACTTAAGACTCGAGAAACTTGACTCTCCTTAACTTGACTTAATTCTTCATCCTTTTCTGTAAGAAAGAAATAGTTGAGAGTGTGCCAGGAAAGAGATGTTTACGGTACGCACAAAGTACACTTGAATCTTATTTGGATCGACCACGACCAACTTTGTACTTTGCGCCTAAATCTGTAAACACACCCTTTCTGGCGCATTTGATATCCCTTTCGACTCCATTGGTTTCACTCTTCTTCTCTCTTCAAAGTTCTTTGCAACTTTCCCTCACGAAATTCTTCTTGGGGTAATTTGATGACATAAAGAAGTGTACCAGAAAGGATGTGTTTCAAATTTTGACACACAGCACTTGAAGTGCACTTGAAGAACAACTTTCGCAAGATTTTCTACTACTCTACTAAAAATTCTTTCAGAACACTCCTACGAGAACATTTCGTTTCGAGTTTCCCGAATACGAGAAGCCAATGGAAAAATCGATCGGTCTTGCCAATTAGATGCTCTCCAACAAATTTGATCTCCGATATTTGATAACTTATAAAAATAAATACTAACCTTAAAATGAGAAACTTGACAGCGATGAAAATTGAGACTGTTCGGGAGACTTTTTCTTTCAATTCTTCTGTCAATACAACAGCTCGAGAACGCTTTTGACTCTCGAAAAGTCTGAAAATTGTTTTGCTTTAAATTCAATGATTCAATCAATCATTTTCTTATGAATTTTTATGATTTCTAGCAATTAGCAATTTCTAGCAATAAAATCTAAGAAATCTATTAGATCATTTTTGAGACTACTCAAGTAATAATCTAGTATTAGATATAGTATTAGAGGTATTAGATAGGCATTAGCAATGACTCACTTTCTGCGCTCTTTGAGACTTCGATGTACTTTCATCTCAGTGAGAAGCGTTAGCAAAGAGATTGTTGCCACCGGGCCGACTGTTTGCGTCAATGTGTTGAGTACAGCTTTGTAGCGGGCAAACTGGAATGGAAGGAAATAGATGAGAAATCTTTTAAGGGATTTTAGAACATTAATACCTTTGCGACAATGGGTCTTTTTAGTGTTCTGAATTAAATAAAAAGTTTGAATCAAGCATTACTTTTTCAAAAGGTTCTCCTCTTGTTTTGATAAACTTTGATCAACTCTTGTAAGCAACTTTTTGATAGAAAGTTTAACGGAAACCGAATTATATTTGTTACCTTATTTTCTTTAATAGTAGTGCACCAAAAGCTTTGCCTAAATTCCTCGAAATCTCGGAAAAGCGCTTATCAGAACCTATAGATGTGGGATCGGAAAATGTAGCTGATGATGAGATCTTGTGGGGGATTTGAGTGTTGAGCTTCTGGGAAAAAATTGGAAACTGTAAAATAGTGATCAACTCACCTCGCCGGGATGCACTACTATTAGAGAGAATACGATAGTCAAATTTGATGCGTTTAGAACAGACTAGTTAGGAGAGAAGGATATTGTGACTGAACCCTTGAGTTTTAGCAAACTACCGTAATTGTCTATATCTATGTTTTTCTAATCAGTTCTGATTTACTGTATTCCCTCTAAAGGTATTGCCCCAAAAGCTTTGCCTAAATTCCTCGAAATCTCGAGAACCGCTTATCAGAGCCCATCGATGTGGGGTCGGAAAATGTAGCTGACGATGAGATCTTGCAAGGGATTTGAGTGTTGAGCTTCTGCAAGTGCTTGGAAACCGTAAAATAGGCATCAACTCGGCTCGTTGGGGTGCACTACTATTAGAGAAAATACGGTCTAAAAACTTTGCAATATTTGAAAACTCTACTATTTACCTAATTGAATCATTGACAACTTTTAGCAGCTATGTTAAATCGTTTCGAGTTTGCTAAAAAGCTTTGATCTTTGCGAATCTATCAAATTTTCTAATGCATTCCGTCTTTTTAGTTTTACAAATATTCAAAAGTCACTTAAAAAATTCAAAAAAATTGTGCGAAGTTATCCTCGTTGTCGCGAGTTTTTAAAGTTAACTTAAAGACTTGGCTATAGCTTGAGAAGTAGTGATGGGGCTAATCCGCTGACGCTACCGTAATACCCGTAATAGTAGCGCCTCTATAATGACGTACAGTCGCGTAGTCGCTAAAGTAAAACATTTTTTTTGAACGTAGCAACTTACATCTTCTCTAAAGAGAGTAGCCGCCGGGCAAGTGGCCTCATCTTTGTGATCCCAGTCCCAGCACGGTTCAATCGTGAATTCAAAGTGGACGGGGATGTTGATGGCGAAAGAGAGCAGCACAACGAATACTGGAATTAAAAAAAACTCATACAACTCTACATCTATAGTGTTGCGCTTAATGAATCTTTTTAGCTTTTTTAAGAAAATAGATTAACCAAAGCTAAAAGAACAATTAATACTAAAATCTACGCGTAATTGCACATAGAATAGACAATTTTTTTCATAACTTTGACAACCGAGCAGACAAAATTGCTATGTAGCTGAAGAACAATAAAATTCAAGTTTTGGGCCTCTTAAAAAAGCGTCTTTTCTGTATTAAAAATCGTCTTTTTTTCATCTTTTTTAATATTAATACGTCTTTAGAGTTGATTACTATAAAAGTAAGTGTTTTTTAAACGCCATTATTCCAAATGCGAGCTTATCCTGGCTAATTTAGCAAAAAAATCTACACAAACTCATAAATCTAGCGAAAAATGTTCGTAGCTTTTGAATATCTAAACGAAAAAACTGTTTACTCTTTTGATTTTTGAGAAAATCATCATTTTAGAGCGCAACATTAGAAATGCCGCACTCTGTCTTATTGCGTGACTTGACCTTAGCCGACTTGACCTTGCTAACCATTACACCACAACGCACTTGATCTCTCTTACTCCAGGGGGAGTTAAGTAGATAACCACAGTTCACCGGTAAGGTGAATTGAATATAAAATATCGTAAAGTTCAACTGTGGTTATCTACTTAACTCCCCCTGGAGTGAAGGAGATCAAGTGCGTTGTGGTGTAATGGTTAGCAAGGTCAAGTCGGCTAAGGTCAAGTCACGCAATAAGACAGAGTTATAGAGGTTTTGAGTGGATCCACCCTTTAAAGCGGCAAGCAAACCGGCGAGCGAAGGGTCGCGGGTTCGAGTCCCGGCGGCACCCAAACTTTTGATCGACCTTAGTTCCAACTGGCGACCACGGTAAGGCAATGCTGGCTAAGGTCTACCTAGTTTCGAGCCACCCCAAGCCGGGAGTGGAACCGTCCAGAGAGGGGGGGGACTTAACTCCTTCTGGAGTAAGGGTGACCAAGTGCATTGTGGTATAATGGTTAGCACATTGGCCGGGAAGCGAAAGGTCGCGGGTTCGAGTCTCGGCGGCGTCGATTCTTTTGATCTGCGCTAGTTTCAACTATCTTTTAGCTTCTTCACTTACATGGAATCAAGTATGGCTTGAGTATTTTGCGTAAATCGAGCTCTCGAACGAAATCCATTGGCGTTAGTGTGGGTAAGAGTTGGGTCGAATCACCCGACGATGGTTCTTTTCGATTTTTCTGAAAAATTTCTATATAAATTAGCTGCATATGTATAAATATTGATTTTTCTTGAAAACTCTTGTGATCTCTTTATTCTAAAATACTGTAGTTCTTCTCAATTACAGTATCCAAAAGCCTTTAGTTGAATATCTTTAGCAGAAAGATCATTTAGCAAAAAAGATATTCAATTTTGTTAGCCGAATTATTAGAAATTGTAGGCTACTGTAATTGATTTTTCGACATTACAGTACTTCTAAGCAAAAGAAGAAAACGAGACAACTCTGGACGAAAAAAGAAAAAGAAAGAAAACGAAACGAAACGAAACGAAACGCTTCTCGAGTACTCGACTGTACAAAAAGCCACTTTGTTTGCGGTAATTTGGATGGGCATTGATTTCTGGCATTCAATTTTAAAGAATTTCAAAGAATTCCAATTTTACACAGATCACAAGAGTTTTTTTTTTTTGAAAGAAAAACCCATGCATAGGGGAAAATCTTGATCAAAAAAAATGATTGATTTTAAAAAACGACACGATTTTTTTTTTTGGTGAATCATCTCAAAAAAGATGACTTTTTTGCGTGTATAAAGCACAAAACAGCAGGCATTAAAATTATTTGCTTTTTGTTTACTTCACTCTTTTCTTTGTTTTTTTTTTCTTTTCTAAAATATAGCACACTCTGTGGGAAAGAAGAAAAAAATGTTAAAAAAAAGGATTTGTTGATCGAAGGGAAACAGGAAAAATTGAAACATTAGCCGTCTGGTGTATTCATCTTAAAGCTAGATCTTAAAGCTTGATCTTAAAGATGTATTGAGCTTAAAAATACTGTATTCTAGTTAAGAGTAGTACTTAAAAACGACTTTCCAGTACATTACTACAGTAGAAGTAGCACTTAAAACGACTTTCAAGTATTTCGAGTATTACTTTTAAGTTTAAACTACTTAAAAATGACTTTCCAGTACAGTACTAGAGTAAAAGTAGTACTTCAAACAACTTTCAACTATTACTTTTAAGTTTAAAATACTTTAAACAACTTTTAACTACATTACTACTGTAAAAGTAGTATTTAAAACAACTTCCAAGTATTTCGAGTATTACTTTTAAGTTTAAACTACTTAAACACGACTTTCCAGTACAGTACTAGAGTAAAATAGTACTTAAAACGACTTTCAAGTATTACTTTTAAGTTTAAAATACTTTAAACGACTTTTAACTGCATTACTACTGTAAAAGTAGTATTTAAAACGACTTCCAAGTATTTCGAGTATTACTTTTAAGTTTAAACTACTTAAACACGACTTTCCAGTACAGTACTAGAGTAAAAGTAGTACTTAAAACAACTTTCAAGTATTACTTTTAAGTTTAAAATACTTTAAACGACTTTTAAGGACAATAATACAGTAAAAGTAGTACTTAAAACGACTTTCAAATGCTACTTTTAAGCTTAAACTAGTTAAAACAACTTTCAAGTATTCCTTTTAAGTTAAATTAGTTAAAACGACTTTCAAGTAAATTACTACAATAAAAGTAGTACTTAAAACGACTTTCAAATACTACTTTATGAGTTTAAACTACTTAAAACTACTATTTAAAAGTGCTGTAAGTTGTCAATGACTTCTTTAGATTGAATATCTTTTTACTTTCAATTTGTCAATTTTTTTTTTGATTTCTTTATAATCATACTGTAATGAATCAAAAGTAGATATAGCCTCTTTAATAAAACCATTTTTAGTACACCAGATTGCGAATGTTTACAAGTTATGAACGTTATGAACGCTTCAATCAACAAGTCAGAGATTAAGAAAAATCGAGATTTGACGCAAAAATGGCCTAAATTCAAGAAAAAAAGAAAGCCAAGTACCAGTCCGGGGATCGAGATTTGTGTCATCTAAAATATTACAAAGATCTTTTAATTTGAAAGAGGATTTCTTTGTATTTCTTCTTTTATTTCTTCTTTATCTTATAAATGATTAAATAGATTAGGTCAAATTAGAAATTAGTTTGTTTTTAGATTAAAATGCCACTGAGTTGTCCTGCAGAAGATTTTCTTCCCAACCTAATAATTCCATCTTCGTTTTCTCAACCGTTTCTTAGCCGATTGCTCTGAAATTTTGCTTAAATGCTGAAAAGATCGATTTATAATTGTAGAGAAAATTTCAGAGCAATTGATCAAGAAACGGCTGAGAAAACGAAGACGGAATTAGGTTTGGATTGGAGTTTTTCTATTTCTAGTTCATAGTACCTTTAACCATGTTAGTTTCGTCAATAATTGTTAAGTTTAGCTTATAAATGATTAAATAGATTAGGTCAAATTAGAAATTAGTTTGTTTTTAGATTAAAATGCCACTGAGTTGTCCTGCAGAAGATTTTCTTCGAATTTCCTCTTATTCACTTGAATTTATTGGGTTGGGGAGAATGAGTCGGCGCCAAACTTTAAAGGGACTTTTTGCACACATAAAGCCTTCTTTAAACATACGTTTGGTTTCATCAAAAGGATCCACTATTTCTCTACAAAATCACTTTTGAGAGATTCCACAAAGCTTTTCTTTCGTGGAGTTTATGAACTTCCAAACGCAGCTGGTTAAAATGGCAAAGAGTCCGACTCATCATTTGAACAGTTTCTTTCACATAAACCTTCTTTGGTGTTTATATAAAAAAGATAGAGCACATTCAATTACTTAAGTTGCCAAATTTGCAGGAAGATCCCACCAATGGTTTTTTCTAAATGACAGTTTGTAGTTTTTGTGAAAAAATGGCTTTTTCTTGAGCGGAGGCGCTGTTTGAATTTTCTTTTAAATGTGATTTTGTAGAGAATTAGTTAACCATTCTACTGATATCAAACGCATATTATTTGACGAAGTCGAATAGAAGTTTTAGACATTTTTTTGATTTTCGGCGCCGACTCATTCTCCCCAACCCAATAGATACAGAACTCATAGCATTTGATAGAATTTATATATAAAAATTGTTAAACGAAGATTATAGCTTGTTTTTTTGGATATTTTGGGTTATTTAATTAGGAAATTCTCAAAATTTACTCGTCGTTGAGTGCTTCGAGTGCTCCTTTCTTGTAGCGCATTCGCATATCGCAACGGTCGAATCACGACCATGAAACGTTGAAATGTAATGTAGATGACAAGAAGAGTCTGAAAATTTGAATTTTGGTTGCTTTTCTTTGCTTTTATTTGCTTTTCTTTGCTTTTCTTTGTTCTTGTTTGCTTGAAATGCTTCTCAATTAATCTTATACGATTTTAGAGTATCACAGTTAGAGAAATAAAGTTCATTATTAACTCAATGAAGCTATGAAGGGTTTCTTCTTCCCCAACAATGGCTATTCCAAAAATAACGCTTGTCAGAAAAGCAAATAAACTTTCGATTAGGTTGCGATAGTTTTAGATGAGTATTTTGCAAAGAGATGACTGTCTTTAATAGCTTTATCACTGCTCTAAGATCTGTTATTATAAAAAGAGAAATGATTCATTTGTTTTTTTTTTCGTTCCACTAATTATTATTTAAGTTTTTCTCATAACTAATGATTACATTTTCTCTATTTAAACCAACTCAACCGAAATTCATCCAAAGAAAAACTTTAAGAAAGATCTTTCTTTCTTTCTCTCTTTCTTCCTTTCTTTCTTTCGTCCTTTCTTTCTTCCTTTCTTTCTTTCTTTCTTTCTATCTTTCTTCCTTCCTTCCTTCCTTCCTTTCTTTCTTTCTCTCTTTCTTTCTTTCTCAAAATCTTTCTCATAAATGGGATTAGTGATTGGAATGGATACAGGGAAAATGTTGTTGAAGAGAGGGAAATTTTCATTTAACATGATCTCTTGTTGAAATGTGCATTGTTATAAAAAAGATGACGTTCATAACGTGAAAATGGCGTCATTTTTGTATAAAAGAAGCACTTTTACAGTCAAAAAATGACTCCTACTTTCTACCGTAAATCTCCAAATAATCAGCTAGATAGCTTTACAAATTTCCATTTAATTTTTAAAGTTAGGATTTGAAAATTTGCATAGAAAACGTCTAGAGTTACGGTATGGGCATTTATATTTGAGAAATGAACTTAAAAATCTAAGAATAAAGAATATAAGAATAAAACTAAGCATTTCTCAATCATCTCTTCGAAGTTAGTCGAAAAAAACGGGTTTTTTTTCGGTTAACTTTGATCTAACTTTGATCTCATTGAGTGCTCTTGACATTCAAATAAGAAAACTCGTATATAGATAGAAGATTTAAAGGTAAATAGATGAATTTTCAAACTCTCTACCGAGCTTGTAGTCATCGATGAGGCGACTCCGTGTAAAGAGGTGGTGAAACCCTGATTCTTGTACCTGAAATTGTTGGTTGATGGATAGACGGATTAGTAAAAGTTTTAAAGAGTTTTCCATTCATTTCCCATTTGTAGTTAATTTCGTTTTTGAAATAGATTTAGATTTAGATTTGAATTTAGAGAAAACCCACATGACATTCGTTCCAAGAAAAACCATTCCGATTGCCTCGATCGAGTACGAGAATATCACTGTGCACATCAGAAGGGAATCGACAATGCATAAAGAGAAGAGAGCTGCGAATGGATTTGGTTTATGATTTCATAGATTTCATAGAAAATCCTTAGATTTCCTTTGCTTTGCTCTATTTTTGATCCGATTTTATAGTTTTTCGTGTACTTTGTGCTTAATGCAAAAGCTAGAAAAGTACACTTTCTGATACTTCATTATTTCGTTAGAAAGAAACCATTTTTGCAAGAAAATTGAAGAAAATTGAAGAAAGTGCAGTAGAAAGTGTAGGAGAAAGATTTGTGCACAAAGTAGATCAAGAAAAAAGTTGAATGGCAATTGCTTCTTGGGTAATTCTTGAACAATTAGCTTACAGCTTAACATTTCAAAGATTACAATTTGATTTTAGGAAATGAGACAGCAAACTCTTACAGAATCTTTAAACCAATTCAAATCAATCAATTTAAATCAATCAATTAAACAAAAAGCTTTTTAGTTCAATTCTACATGTTTCTAAACCGATTTTGAGATATTTGAAACACTCGAACCCTTTGCTATTATCAAATCCAACTTTAAACACAAATCTCTTTGGTGTTCGGTTGTTCAATTTCAATATTCTTGATATCATTAGATGCATCAAGTCATTTCTCTATCGATTGGTACAAAAACTATTTAAATTGGACGACCCAACACCAAGAAATTTGAGAATTTAAGCTTAAAGTTAGATTGGTAAAAGGGGCATGGTCCGAATGTCCGATAGCGTTTCCTACCAGCTGTGAGGTGTTTGTTGAGACCGGCTTTCCATAAGAACTTCGCGGCGAAGACAGTGCCCGTCAAGGCAAGAATGGCGGCTAATGAGGTGCACGGCCCGTCCACCCATCTAGCGAAAGTCGTTTGTGGATCGGTGGCTGAAAAAGAAAAACTAGAAAATTGTTCTTGGGCACTTTTTTAAGGAAATTTCTCATTAAACAGATAAGCTTTCTATTACTAGAAAGTGATAGAAAGCTTATCTGTTTCTATCACTTTCTAGTAATAGCTGGTATCTCCATACCATGGTAAGCTGGTATCCAGCTACAATGATAAGCTGGTATCCAGCTACCATGGTAAACTGGTATCCAGCTACCATGGTAAGCTGGTATCCAGCTATCATGGTAAGCTGGTATCCAGCTACCAGCTTTCTATTACTCTTTTCATTTCTTTTATCTTCTGCTATGTTTCTTTTGTGACTTTATAAACTCACAAATATATCTATAGGTGCAATTGGGCAGTGTCCCGTTGTCGAGTTTCATCTCTCTAAAAAATTTCAGGTATTAAGAATGATTGAAAGGGTTTAGTTATTGCAAAATTTGTTGTAAAAGTCGTACGGTAAAGCAGGCAAAGCCTTGTTGTTTTCTCACCTTTATCTTAGAACAAAATAGTATTATAACAGTCTTAAAGGTTGTATTTTGTACTTAAAAGTAATCCTAGATAAATAAAGAAGTAAACAGCTAAATATCATGATGAACGAAAGAACAAAGGGAATAATAGGCGGTGGCTACTTTGCGCCAAATTTCTTGCGCAACTGGGCCATTTGCCCAACTGGGCCATTTGCCCAACTGGGCCATTTGCGTAACTGGGCCATTTGCGTAACTGGGCCATTTGCGCAACTCGCCATAACTTTCTTCTAAGACGGTCAATCTTTATGATTTTTATGTCATTTTGTAGATCTCAATAAGTGCAACAAAATGATGGTGGTGGTGGTTGCACTCTTCATTTCTCTGACCATCTTGTGCTCCACCTCGTTGCTGGTCTTCCGATGGACCTCTTCTCGGTCAATCTTTATGATTCTGGTGTCATTTTGTTACACTTGTTGAGATCTACAAAAGGACATCAAAATCATAAAGATTGGAAGACTTAGAAGAAAGTTATGGCGAGTTGTGCAAAAGATCTAGTTGCGCAAATGACTCTGTTGCGCAATTTGGCGCAAAGTAGCCATCCCCAAACAATAAGAAAGAGTTATTTCAATAATTTCGATAAGAAATGAATGCTAAATTTGAAAGAACAATATTATTGATTATTTAAATTTAAATTTAAATTACTTTAATTGCAATAATGGACAAAGTATCAAAAAAAGACAATATTTTTGAAAGTTAAATGGAGAGAAAGAAATTTTGAATGAAAGCTTTTGGAAAGATGAATCTATGGATTAGACTGAGTGTTCATGTAGATATCGACAAAATTTGAACAATAGAATAATGGGATTAGTGAAAGGAAAAGGATGCTCAAAAGGATCAGAGATTTTCGGAGTCTTTGGAGCTTTTCGATTTTGAATCTTGTTTTTAGGAAGGTTGAATGGCATCATTTAATAATAATACTTTGTTCATTCTCACAATTAAAGTAATTAAAGTAATTAAAGTTACAATAAAGCCAATAAAGTTACAATATTCAAATCTAAACGGTACAATTGTCTTTGGTTGAATGGCATCATTTAATAATGATACTCATCAGGTTCACAATAAGCTTTTAAATCAAGATGATGATAGAATATTGTCAAATTTCTTGTCTAAATACAGAAAATTGACTCTGAGGGAAGATATTTTCATACTCTACCAGCAGAAATGTTTATTGCTTTAAGTTTATTGCTTTAAGTTTATTGCTTTAAGTTTATTGCTACTGATTACTCAAAAAGCAAAAGGGTTAGAGTAAGTCTACTTTTTCGTGTTTAATTTATCCTTTACTTCAGAGAAATGTGACTGGATAAGCGATAAATATCGTCATTTTTTTTGCCAGCCATGGTCGAATGATTAGAAGTCTTGTATTCTAATCGGGAGGTCGATGGGTACTAGACAGGTTCGATCCTAGCCAGAAAATTTACCTCTTTTTCTTATTTAACTAATTTAACTCTAACTAACGTTCGCGTTTTCCACGCAATCCAAGCCGCGCCCCTTTTTTTATCAATGGCTGCGCACAAAGGGACAGACGTCTCTTCTGCTTTGTATATGTCGTAGCCGTTGACGAAATTCAGCCGTTTACGAATAATTCGTTAGCGGCTAGCCGTTGCGAAAGAAAAAAAACCACTTGTTGGGGAAAAAAAAGAAACATTTTTATCTTGCCAGCTTGATTGAACCCTCGACCTTCCGCTTAAGAGCCAAGACTCCCTAACCGGTCGGTCAGCTGGCCATAAAAATAAAACTAAAACCATTTTTGAGTCATTCACTCAAAAATCAATGTCTTCAACAGTTTGAAATCAGAAACTCGAAAAAATATGAGAATTTTACTGAAACGTTTCAAAATCTTGAAGAAAAGGTGGTAATTTTGAGGGAAAATTTGGGGTTTTTGGGGGTTTTTTTTGTGGGCTGAAGTCACCAAAAATTGGGGGAATTAGTGAATTTTTTTTTTTTTGAAATAAACTGAAAACAAGTAAAAAGAATTTCAGTGTGAATTGTAAGAATTTCTTTTAATCTTAGATTTATTCAAGTACAGTTGTGCGTTTGTACTCAGAAAGATCTTTCCAAAGGTTGGTCACGAGCTTTTACAAAAGGAAAGGAAAGAAAGTGAGAGTGAAAGTGAAAATTTTACAAAAAAACTGTGTTACGCGGGTTTTTGTTTAACTAATAATTTAGTTATTGTAGTTTTTTAGTTTAGCTTCAGTTTTTTAGTGCGAACCAACTGCTAGATTTGGCCATTCGACTTGAAAAAACTGAAACTATGAAACTATTGAAACTATTGAAACTATGAAACTACTGAAACTAAAAAAACTACCGTATTTTCTTTAATAGTAGTGCCGAGCCGAGTTGATGCCTATTTATGGCTTCCAAAGCTTTCCCAAAAGCTCAAAACTCGAATCCCCCACTAGATCTCATCGTCAGCTACATTTTCCGACCCCACATCAATAGGTTCTGATAAGCGGTTCTCGAGATTTCGAGGAATTTAGGCAAAGCTTTTGGTGCACTACTATTAGAGAAAATACGGTAACAAATATAATTCGGTTTCAGTTAAGCTTTCTATCAAAAAGTTGCTCACAAGAGTTTATCAAAGTTTATCAAAACAAAGTTTAAAAGTCGATCAGTTAATTTTGGGTTTTTGGGTTTAAAAGAAAAGTATCTATTGGTTTATTCAACCAATTCAAGCAATCAATCACAATACAGAAACAAATCCGATTGAAATCCTATCCTAAACTATCCAATGCGACAGAATCCTTAACTTAAGCATAGCTCTAGAAAGTCAATAATCAATAATCATACTGGAAAGTCAATAATCAATAATCAATAATCATATTGGGGCTAGTTAGCACAGTGAATCCATTGCGCGGTGGTGTAGTTGTAGTGTGTTCAGTTACAAAGCTCAGTTCACTTTCTGGCACATTTGATTAAAGAAGAAATGCAAAATGGTTACATTTTTTGGGTTTTTTACCCCTGTGGTTCCGCACCACTGATTCAATTTCATTGAATCAGTGGTGCGGAACCACAGGGGTTTTTTCCATTATATGGTGGAAAAATTTTGAAAAATGGCTAATGTTGTAGTGGAAAAATTGAGTCGAAACAATTGCTGGTTGTTTGCTGTTGCTGGTTGTTTCCGCCGGTGTCAAATCATCAATTTTTAGAGCGGCATAACGCAAAAAGCTTACGACACTCGGGATTCCCAAGCCGTCTCCGATCCAAGTACTAACCGAGCCAAGCGTTGGCTTAACGGGATACCGATCGAACGGGATACCGCGGTAACCCGATTTGATGGTTTTTGCATCAAAATGCTCATAAGAGTCTCTAGAATAAAGCTTATCCCTTCGTTTTTGGTTCTAGACCCTCGTTGTCGAGTTACGAGCTCCAAACTGCAGGGTACCACAAAATTTCCCATACAAAATGACCAAAAAAATCGCTAAAACTAAATTTAAAACATTTCTGTCAGAGGGATTTGAAAAATTCCTTCAGATTCGGAATCAGCACAATTTTCCGCATCTAAAAAAGGTACTCCCAGAACAAATCCGATAGAAAACGCATTTTTGCCTTAACTCGCGCCGATATGCGGTGCGTTATATTGCTTTGCGCTTGGGATAACGTTGAGCCAGCGACTAACCGAGCCAAACGTTGACTTAACTTGGCAGATCGAACGGGATATCGTGTTTCAACGTCCCCAAAACGTAAACATAAAAATGAATCAAATTTTCCTTTCATTAGATCTCTTTTTAGCTTTTTTTTTTTTTTGGTTTCTTTAAACCCTCTGGAGACAGAATAGAACTTATTAATTACTCTAAAATATCAAAGTTTAAAAAAATGTGAAACGTGGGCACAAATCGAATCAAAAATCGAAAATGGTAGTTAATTTAGTTCTTTTTTTAGGGCAAACTAATTGTTCAACCTTTTTCGCAAAATTTGATTAAGCAACCGATAAATTTCAGCAAAAATGGAAAAGAAATATAGAAATAGTTTTGCGGGGTGATAGAAAAGTTTTAGTAAAATGGAAAGATGAATAGAAAATGAAGAGAAAATGAAGAGAAAAAGATGAAAAACTTGAAAGATTTTGGTTAAAGATGAGGCTAAAAATGAGCTCTGTCAACTAAAATGAGCTCTGTCAACGATTTTTTCAATCTTTCCAAAACTCAACATTTTTACATCCAAAGAATCATTTTACAAAAAGAAAAGGAAAACCGGAAATTGCTAATGCTTTTGCAAAAGTTTTTTGGGCTAATTAGAAGTCTGGAAAGCTTTTGGTTTACCTCTTGGTTTACCAAGATAAAGCCCTCTATAGATCTCATTTTACAGAGAGAATCAAGCGAAAGTTTCATTTTCTAATATTCTAATAAGCGATTAAGTTAAAGAAATCGATTCTTAGCAAGAGAGAGAGGGAAAAATTAAACAAACTAAACAGAAAATCGTTTTGACAACGATTCCAATCAATTCACAGAACATTTCACTGATTTATGACTGACTGAAAAACGAGATAATCTTCTTTTAATAACCGATTGTGCAAAAATCACCTAAAAATAGAAAATAAAAGAGATAGAAGTGGCAAAAAATCGAGAAAAATTTGATGTCCTTCATTTTTGTATAGTAAAACCGGAAGTGGTGCATTATAGAGAGGAAATGGTTGAGGGTGAAGCGAAGAAGTTCCTCATTCATTTTTATTCAAAGAAAAGCGAGCTTCTCGGAAGTGAGATATTTCGAGTAAACTAAAGGATTATTGAAGAGTTGTAGAACTGCATACTGCAACAATTCAAGTTGCAGAATCTGCATCTTGATCTTGATGCAACTTTTCACTGGGAATCTCTAGAGCTAAGAGTAATAACGCCCTCTCTTGCAGGCGAGAAAGTATC